TTGTGGCCCAGAGTTTTGTCTCCCCATTGTGTCCCCTCGTCTGTTGTCTGGTGTGTCACGGGTGTCTGGGTGTAGTTGTCCCGGAGCTGCTCTGCCCTGCTGCCCAGCCTGGCTGTAGGTGTACAAGGCCAAGTCCCAGGCCCCTGTAATTTGAACTTTGTGATGTAGGGTGTAGTTGGGGTCTAGAACATATCCCTAGATCAACACAAGATGTCTGGAGCTGTGAAGTTTCCCTGCAGCACTTTGACTTTTGTCTCAGCTCTCTTTCAGATGCGGATGGATGAAATCAGTGGCAGAGCGCCCCATCCAGGGTAAGGGGGTTCCCCCGAGAAGGTAAGTCAGTGTGTGTCTTTGCAGGGCAACTGGAACCGGTCCCTGTGTTACAGGTCTCCTCTTTGTCTTTATTTTAGGAAATAGAGCCATCTAGCAGCAGTCAAGGTGAAGCGGGCAAGGTGAGCGTTGACCGGTGGAGGGAGGCTGTTGTTATCGCTGGGCTCTCAGTTTCTGGTGCAACGCCAAGCGTCCCTCCTTGTTTGCGTGCTTTAGGCGGTCCAGTCGCGTTTCGTCGAGACCCCGTCGCCAGCCGGCCGGCACGCCTGCTTCGCCGCTCCTGTGAGCCCTGCGGAAGCGTCACAGGGACCGCGTGACGGAGCCTTTTCCACGTAAAGGGGCCTTGTGGCTGGCCTTCAGGAAGGGGCCGAGGGCTTCCCGTGAGTTGGGGATGTCGGGGGGAGGAGCGAGGGCCTGTTCAAGTCTCAGCAACGCCGCATCACTTTTTCTTCTCTTAACTCAGGCGTGCCCTGTGCTGATGGCGTCCGGCACCCGGCATGTCCGTAGCATGTGGCCTCAGGACACAGCCATTCATAGGAGACCGTGAGTAGCGGAATTGTCGGGTTTTGGCCGACGCCCTGCACAGATCAGCTGCTGATTTTCTGTTTTATTTTTTGTAGCTGACCTGGAGATGATATCCTGGAGATGGCAGGAACTTTCTGGATGGCGAGGCGGCCTTCCTTGGCGCTCCACATGGATCCTTCCCACCGGGCATTCGAGAGCATAGTCGATGACTGAGATCCGCAGAGTGGATGAAAGTTGGGACTCGTCGGGACTCGTGACCCGGGATATTTGAGTCAGCTTTGGGGACGGGGAGGTCCAGGCTGTGGCCCCTTAGGCCGCACGGTCGGAGAGCCTCACTTTTGTTCACAGTGCTGAGGTGTGCAGGACAGAGCAGCCTCGGGGTGCGTCGTTTCACTTGTCCGTCGTGCCTTCTGTGTCTTTTGTGCCTCTCGTGTTGTATGTGCCTTCCCTTATCCCTTCTGGGGGCTTACCAGAAACCCTGACGCCGTTCTTAACATCTCCAATCTCTGGGCTCCTCGGCTCGGCTGCTCTCAGAGGCCTTGGAATCGCGTCTCTTTTGAAAAACATCCGATCGGATGTCTTGGAGACGTCTTCTTCCGAGCTGTGTCAACAGCCGTGCGCCGCGAGGATCCATTGTTGCGGCTTAGGACTTGAAGAAACGCAAGGATAGGTAGGGGACTGCGGCCCTCAGGTTCTTGAGCATCTGTCTTGGCAGTTCCTGGAGTTAATTGTTCCATCAGCATCTTCTTCCTCCCGGGTTCTGTGAGCTTCATCAGCTCGCCTTCATTCTCACCCGGCTCATCTCGTTCCGCATTCTCTCAGTCCTTGCGGCCGTCCTTGTGGCCCAGAGTTTTGTCTCCCCATTGTGTCCCCTCGTCTGTTGTCTGGTGTGTCACGGGTGTCTGGGTGTAGTTGTCCCGGAGCTGCTCTGCCCTGCTGCCCAGCCTGGCTGTAGGTGTACAAGGCCAAGTCCCAGGCCCCTGTAATTTGAACTTTGTGATGTAGGGTGTAGTTGGGGTCTAGAACATATTCCTCGATCAACCAAGATGTCTGGAGCTGTGAAGTTACCCTGCAGCACTTTGACTTTTGTCTCAGCTCTCTTTCAGATGCGGATGGATGAAATCAGTGGCAGAGCGCCCCATCCAGGGTAAGGGGGTTCCCCCGAGAAGGTAAGTCAGTGTTTGTCTTTGCAGGGCAACTGGAACCGGTCCCTGTGTTACAGGTCTCCTCTTTGTCTTTATTTTTAGGAAATAGAGCCATCTAGCAGCAGTCAAGGTGAAGCGGGCAAGGTGAGCGTTGACCGGTGGAGGGAGGCTGTTGTTATCGCTGGGCTCTCAGTTTCTGGTGCAACGCCAAGCGTCCCTTCTTGTTTGCGTGCTTTAGGCGGTCCAGTCGCGTTTCGTCGAGACCCCGTCGCCAGCCGGCCGGCACGCCTGCTTCGCCGCTCCTGTGAGCCCTGCGGAAGCGTCACAGGGACCGCGTGACGGAGCCTTTTCCACGTAAAGGGGCCTTGTGGCTGGCCTTCAGGAAGGGGCCGAGGGCTTCCCGTGAGTTGGGGATGTCGGGGGGAGGAGCGAGGGCCTGTTCAAGTCTCAGCAACGCCGCATCACTTTTTCTTCTCTTAACTCAGGCGTGCCCTGTGCTGATGGCGTCCGGCACCCGGCATGTCCGTAGCATGTGGCCTCAGGACACAGCCATTCATAGGAGACCGTGAGTAGCGGAATTGTCGGGTTTTGGCCGACGCCCTGCACAGATCAGCTGCTGATTTTCTGTTTTATTTTTGGTAGCTGACGAAGAGACGACAGCCTGGCGATGGCAGGAACTTCCCGGGTAGCCAGGCGGCCTTCCTTGGCGCTCCGTGTGGATCCTCCCCAGCGGGCATCCGAGAGCTGAGTCAAAGGCTACGACCCGCAGAGGGGATGAAAGCGGGGTGCCGGGTCGGGGCGGTTCAGGCTGTGGCGCCTTAGGCTGCACGGTGGGAGAGCCTCACTTTTGTTCACAGTGCTGAGGTGTGCAGGACAGAGCAGCCTCTGGGCGCGTCGTGTCACTCGTCCATCGTGCCTTCTGTGTCTTTTGTGCCTCCTGTGTTGTATGTGCCTTCCCTTATCCCTTCTGGGGGCTTACCAGAAACCCCAGCAACACTTATAACATCTCCAATCTCTGGGCTCCTCAGCTTGGCAGCTCTCAGAGGCCTTGGAATCGCGTCTCTTTGGACAAGCATCCGATTGGATGTCTTTTA